GGACAGGGGCCCAGGCCCGCTCCCACCCCCCCTGCCGGGAAGGACACAGACCCACAACTCCCCCGACCCTGCTCCAAACCCTCGGGCTGGTGGCACCCAGCCCTGGCTCGCAGCCACCTGCAGGAAGGCCAGGCTGCCTGCCTCTGACTTTCCCTTGCTGTCTTGAAGTCAGGAGAGCACGCTCGGGTTCCCGCCTGTGAAGCTGCACACATGGGTTGCAGCTTTTTGGGCGTCGGATTTCAGCATGAGCTTCAGCCCAACCAGCCAGTGAGCGAACATGCCTGTTTCTGGTGTGCTGCGCCAGCCTTCCGCCTCAGCCTTCCAAGTAGCTGGAACTACAGGTGTGCGCCACCACGCCCAGCGAATTGTTTGATTTAAGATGAGGTCTTGTCAATTTGCCCAGATTGGTTTTGAACCCGCGGGCTCAGGTGATCCTCTCACCTTGGCCTCCCAAAGTGCTGGGATTACGGGCTGCGCCACTGCACCCAGGCAAGCCTGTGCTTTCCAATATCACAGACCAGGCTTCTCATCTCAGCCCTGCCCTTTCAGCTAGGTGGCCATGGGAAGTTAATTCACCTGTGTGGGCCTCAGTTTCCCCAGCCCTCAACGCTAGAGTTGGGAGGAGCTAGCTGCCCAGAGGGCGGTGGCAGGACCTGAGGGCAAGCACGAGGCCCTCCCTTTACCTGGCAGGCGGCGGGCGCTCTCCGGCAGCAGACGCTCATAGGTGTTGAACAGTCCCGCGTCGGAGACCACGATGGGGCAGTAGATGTCCACCAGCTCCTGCCCCTTCTTCACACTGACACCTGCAGGCACAAGAGCTGGCTGGGGATCTGTGAGGAGGAGGGCCCTTGGCCCCCATGGACCCGGGCCGGCCTGCGCCTCATCTCTCGGGTTTCTGTATTGCCTGTGGAGTGCCCGGGCCACTCTCAGACTGGGAATCTGGCAGGGTGGGCACCAGGGAATCTGCCGAGCGAGAGTCCTGAAGCATCTCAGCCTGTCCTGTGGTCACTTCTGTGTCGCCCACCCTTATTATCTCTGTCCACCCGCCCCAGCGTGTGTGGGCTCTGCCTTTCCTTTCACCAAAGTCCCGGACCAAGTTCACAGGCTGAAGCCATTCAGAGGGAAACCCAGACCCTGCGTCCCCGCTGCCAGAGTTCTTCCTTTAAATCCCTCCAAGGACGCCTCAGCCTGTATAAGGAAACCTCCAAAGTTTTATAGCAGCCTGGATGGCGTGGTTCCTGTGTGTCCAGTCTCATCTCTGGCCACTGTCACTAGGCAGAAAACATATCAAACAGCTAAGAGTCAACTGTCTTTCGGCCTCCGAGAACAGAAGATTCTCCTAGTTCATCTTCATTCTCCAGTTGCCTGAAAATTACCCCCCTTTAGACCCCCATGCCTTTGCACATGCAGGTCTCCCTCCCTGGGATAGTCTCCCTGACGTTGTCTGCTTGCCAACTTCATCTCACCCTTACGACCTGGCTCAAACACCTCTGCCTCCACGAGTTGTCCCTGTCCCACCATACCGTATGGGACCTCCATCCTTAGTATATGCCTCCATATGGCACATAAATTAAGTTGCAGTGATTTTCCCTAGGAGGCTAGAACCTTACCGAGACAGAGACTCATTTATTTTTTTACCATTTATGTTTTGTTTTTTGAATTGGGGTCTCACTGTCGCCCAGGCAGTGACAGTGACTTGATCGTGGCTCACCACAGCCTTGACCTCCTGGGCTCCAGTGACCCTTCCCCCTCAGCCTCCCAAGTAGCCTGAATTGACGCACGCCACCACAGCTGGTTAATCTTTTTTTTGTAGAGATGAGGTCTTGCTATGTTACCTAGGTTGGTCTTGGGCTCAAGCAATCCTGGGCTCAAGCAATCCTCCTGGGCTCAAGCAATCCTCCTGCCTCAGCTTCTGAAAATGCTGGGATTAGGCCTCATGTATATTTTATCTCCAACTTTTAAGATGTGGGGTACAACTCAGGATTAGGTATACAAGCGGTCATCATACAGGTAGAGTTTGGGTCTCGCTTGGGTCCCCACTTTGCCTGGTTTGAGATCAGGTGCCCTTGTTGATGTCGTGTCCCCCTCCCTCCCCCCACCCCCGCATCGCCAACATTTAATACCTCGTGCGTGGGAAACAGATAAATATATTCTGGACTGAATTTAATTGGGCTGATAAACCTACCCTGCTTCCTGGACCTCTTTCAGCTGGAAGGAGACTTTGCTCACAAACATCACAGAAAACCTTGCCCAGCTGACAGCCACCTCCCTCTTATCACCTGGCAGCTTCTTGGTCCCTTCTACAAGATCACTGACAGCCTTTTCGCCTTTTTTTATTTTATGCTGGGCCCTGCCACTCCACACCTCCCTCTCCTTCGGCAAATCCATGTTCCCATCAGTCCTGTTTTCTCAGGCCAGCCTCTTTTTGAACCCCTTCCTGATGCTTTTTTCTTAGAGGCAGGGTCTTGCTGCGTCCCCCAGGCTGGAGTGTCATGGTGTGATCATGGCTCACTCACTGCAGCCTCAAACTCCTGGGCTCAAGCAATCCTCCTGCCTCAGCCTACCCAAGTAGCTGGGACTATAAGTGCATATCACAACGCCTGGCTAATTTTTCGTTTTTTTGTAGAGACAGGGTCTTGCGAGGTTGTCTAAGCTGGTCTCGAACTCCTGACCTCAAGCAATCCTCCTACCTCAGCCTCCCAAAGTGTTTGGATGACAGGTGTGAGCCATAGCGCCTGGCCCTGATGCTTCTCTTAGCGCCCTCTAGTCATCGATAGCCTGTTCTGTTTAACAAAGTCCTTCCTTGAGCAGACCCTCTCTTCAAAGAACTCATTCATACTGGGATTTTGAGTCTCTACGTGGGTTCAGCCAGGATAATGAGGTTCTGGGTCCTACTCTGCCAGTTACAGATGGAGGGCAGAACCGCCTGCTGGCCTCCGTATGGCCCCGTGGCATGCCTAGGTTACTCATCCGCTCCATCAACCCCTGGACATGCACATATTGAGCCCTAGAACGTGCTAAGATCTACAGACACGAAGATAAAAAAGACGCGGCCCCTACACTCTAAGGCACAGATTACTGGGCAGATGCTTTTATCTATTGAATGAATGATGCAATTCTGTTCTTTGGACCATGCAATCCTTCATCTTTCCTGCGTCCTTTTTTACCTCTAGACTGTCCCTGGCCCCTGCTCGGGGACAGATTCCGGCCTTTAGATGCCACTCAGGGCCCCTGAAGCACAGCGCAGGGCTCTCACCACAGGCTCTCCCAGCCGAGTCCAGCAACACATGCTGCACTGCAGCCTTTGTGAGGACAGCACCCCCGGCTCGCTGGATCACAGGGATGGTGTGGAAGGCGATCTCACTGGAACCCCCTCGGGGATAAAAGGCCCCTTTCAGGTAGTGGTCAACGATCAGAGCGTGCATGGAGAAGGTGCTGTGGCTGGGGGTCACGCCTGCAGAAGGAAAAGCGGGATCAGCAGGCAAGAGCAGCACTCAGCCTCCCAGGAAGGAACGTGGATTCGCGTGAGACGATGCTCAGCCAAATCCATCTGAGGATCCAAACGCTCAGGGTTCCAGAGAGCGAAGGGCCGTTTCCATCCAAACTTGGGTACCTGAGAGATCATAGGGCCAATGGGAATATCCTCCCTGCAGAGTGCCAAGCTGCCAAGGGAGGACAGAGTTGGCTGAACTGAAAAATCAGCCAGGGTATGAATGAAGGGGATTTCTATGCAGAGTCCAGCAGGTGCCAGACTCCTCGCCCATAAGCTCTGAGGGGCTTGGGCTTCACATGGCTCCGTGTCAGCCAGGCAGACAGGAGAAGAAAGACTGCGAGCCAGGTGGGCAGCACCGCCACCACTGTAAGGCCAGCACCCACCGTAAGTGGGGAAGATGTAGCTGAGTACCGCCTGGAGCTCAGGAGAGGCCCCCAGCTGCTGCAGGACCTCAGCCAGACTCTGGGTGGACGCGCGAAGGAATGGGGAGAACCGAGTCAGCAGCCCACACTTGTCGAGAAGCTGAGCCACAGGCAACGGGAGGAGCTTCAGCAGGATGGCGTGGGCTGCGCTGCTGGATACCACCTGGGGAAGAATGAGCCATGGGGGACAGGCCACATTTCTGGAACTGCTTGACAGAACCACGATTCCCACAGCCTACGCCAGCAATACTTTCCCCTGGCTGAATGGTGCTGAATTTGGAATTTAAAATCTGTGCTCTGTGAGTTTTTCCCAGTGTATCTCAGATGAATCCTTTTCAGTTTTTTAGCTTCCTGCTCAAATTCCTTTTTAAAAATCCCAGTCTGTTCTCAGGCAAAGTAAAAGGATTAGTAATCTGAGATTCCATGGTAATCAGACTAGGCCAGGCTCGGTGGCTCAGCCTGTCATCCCAGCACTTTGGGAGGCCGAGGCGAGTGGATTGCCTGAACCTGCAGGTTCGAGACCCACCCGGGCAACTTGGTAAGACCTCATCTCTACAATAAATCAAAAGCTAGCCGCACGTGGTAGCATGTGCCTGTAGTTCCGGTTACTCGAAAGGCTGAGGCAGAAGGATCGCCTGAGCCCAGCAGCTTGACGCTGGGGTGGCCGTGAGCACGCCACGACACTCCAACCTGGGCAACAGAGTGAGACTCCAACTCAAAAAAAAAAAAAGAAAGCAGACTAGTCAGAGAGGAGAGCAGGGCGCCCCTAGAGGCCACCGTGAGAGCGGCGGCTGCGGAGCCAAGGCTGCAAGGACAGCACCTGGCTGGGCAGGGAGGGACTTCGGAGGGGCCAAGTTCAAGACAGATGCACAGCACCTCCCTTCCTGCCTCCCCTACTCTACTCACTGTCCCCCGGCCACCCCACTAAGAGCGAAGGTTCACCTTGTTGGGAATAAACTGTGGGTCCCCGGCATGTCCACGTTACCTGAACCATCTTTATATACTTATCAATGGTGGCTTCTTCCCGCGGAAACTTCTCCTTGAGGCCCTGGACGTAGGCTTTCTTCCCACTGTACATGGGGAACTCCTTTCGGCCATCGGGCCCTTCTAGTACCATGATGTCAAAAGGAGAGGACAGGGTAGCCCAGTCCAACTGCCCTTCCGTGATCTGGTCCAAGACAAAACGGCCAGGGCTGCCCTCCTGCATCTGCCCTATATAATGGATTCCTGTGAAGAGACAGGAAACCAGGTGGCAAAGAGACTGAGGCCCGGAGAGGGGACTGAGAAAGACAGGTGTGGGGGGTTATCTGGCCTGGCCAAGTCCACACCCCAAAGGGGCTGCCCCCTTCCTATGGGAAAGGCGTCACAGCAGAAACCACCAGACCCCTGCCCAGTTCCGCTCCCAGTGGAGATGGCTGTCAGTACCCAGAGAAAAGATGGCACTCCACAACCATAAAAATGCCCAGTGTCATCCCACAAGGGCTGTTCCAAGCCTTCTCAAGATACAGCATGCTCCCAACCCTCTTCCACACCATCCTTACCTGTGTCAAATTCAAGGCCGTTCTTTCCGAAGGTGTGGCAGCAGCCCCCTGCCTTGGTATGTTGTTCCAGCACCAGGACGCGCTTGCCGGCTTTAGCCAGAATCGCCGCCGCGGCCAGGCCCCCAAAGCCGCTGCCAATCACCACCACATCCAGCTTCTCTGGCACTTGACTGACTGAGAAAGCTGCAGCAGAAGGGGTGGGGCGGAGGGTGGGCTTCTCAGGTGGGGGCAGGGAGATGCAAAGATAAGAAACCAAAGATGACTTGTCCAGCTTGTACAGGGCAGGAAATCTCTACAGCAGTTGGGCACGGAGCTCTCTGCTAAGATGTCTCAAACACTCTACCTGGGAAGTCTCAGGACCAGCCAGGCAGATGAAACAAGGTGATCTGGTTTGATCTGAGCTGACTAACCACAACATACCTGGGGCTTTTCCCTCCTTTCAAAGAAAGCAGGAATCAGTAAACTACTTATAGGAACAGAAACAAAGCTGACAAGCTAAGAAACCGCACAGAGAGGAGCGGGCCAGGGAAGGAAGAAAACAAGGGGGTGGGGCGTGGGGGAAGAATGCTGTGGGCCAGACTGCTGGCTCCTGAAACTGTCTATTCACAAGCTGGGCTTCTTTGGAAGATGAAAGGTCTGCAGGCGCCAGCAGAGCGCTGGGTCTTATGACAGCTCTTCCGCATCCTGATGGAGAGAGGCTTGGGCAGGACAGAGCCGCACAGAGAAATCACAGCACAAGCCCCTCACGCTGGAGAAGTCAGAAGCCGGGAGGCAGTGCTAGGCAGGGCAGGACCTTAACAGAAGACTAAACTGGACAGTACGTGGTGCTATCTGGGCACTTTCAACACCAAATCTGTTCCTTAAAAATCACGGTTAGCTGGGTATGGTGGCTCACGCCTGCAATCCCAGACTTTGGGAGGCCGAGGTAAGAGGACTGCCTGAGCCCACGGGTTCGAGACCAGCCTGGGCAACAGGGTGAGACCTTGTCTCCACAATTTAAAAAAATAAAAATTTAGCCGGGTGTGGTGGCACACACCTGTGGTTCCAGCTACTTGGAAGGATAGCCTGAGCCGAGCACGTCAAGGCTGTGGTGGCTGTGAGTGTGCCTTTGCACTCCAGTCTGGGCGACAGAGTGAGACTCCGACTCAAAACAAATAAATAAATACACATCATTGCTGAAGAACTGGGATTTGGAATTTTTCAAGCTGCAAGAGAACTCAGCAAGTTGCCTACTTCTCAAAAGTTTTTAGAAAGCCCCATCATGAAAAAGAAACGTTTTATACAACTCAGAACATATTATGTAAGTATGTAATACAAATATGTCCAACAGGAGTTTCACAATGCAATACTTCCTGAAACTATATGTGATGCTCTCAGATACTTTCTAGTCTGCTGCATTTAATAATGCTAGTTGCAACCCACTAAGTGTATTTAATAACCTACAAATACATCTCAATCTGGTTTGAAAAGCAGTTAAACTAGTCATCTCATTTTAGTGCAGCCCAGATAGGTGTAGAAACTTTGATCTCCGAAGTCCGGACGATTAATTCTTTCTCTTGGAACAGTATTGTCTCCAATTGTGTCCCAAGACGTGTCACAGAATTCTAAAATTTACAAGTGAGAGGGACTCTGGAGATCAAACTGGTGATCCATTTGTTTTTGTTTTTGAGTTGGAGTCTCACTCTGTCACTCAGGCTGAAGTGCAGTGGCACGCTCACAGCCACCGCAGCCTCCACCTGCTGGGCTCAGGCCATCTTTCTGCCTCAGCCTTCCAAGTAGCTCGAACTACAGGCCCGCGCCACCATGCCCGGCTATTTTTTTGATTTATTTGAAATGAGGTCTCGCCAAGTTGTCCGGGCTGGTCTTGTACCCCTGCACTCGGGCAATCCTCTTACCTCGGCCTCCCAAAGTGCTGGGATGACAGGCGTGAGCCACTGTGCCTGGCAAAATATATTTTAAAGATGAGAGCAGGGAGCATGCTCTGAGCCTGAGGCAGGCACCCTATTGAACCTCCGTCAAAGTTTTGGAATCAGAGTTCAGTCCTGTGAGTTGGAGCTTGCATAATCTGTTAAATCACATAATGGGCAAAACAAAATTTCCTATGCAAATCGCGAGAGACTGCCTGCTGTGCAGCTCCTCTGCCCCAAAGTCGGAGGGTACGAGAGAAAGTTAAGGTCCCGAACCAAGTAGAGGAAAGGTCTTTCTTATCTGCCCGTGAGCTGCGGAAATAAGCACGTGGCAGGCCCAGGACTGGGCTACGCCAAGACCTTGGCACACCAAGCATCGCACCCGTGCCCTTGGGCTACTCTCCCGGGCAAAGGCCCTTGCTAGTGGTGGGCACTAAAACCGGGCGCCTGCAGGTGCCGAGAAGCCCTCCCAGCACTTTCCCTGTGGGGAAACTGAGGCCCGGGTCCGGCGGCGCCTCGCCCTGCTGGGATGGGAACGCAACCCGGTGAGCATGTACAACTCAGTGCAGCCCAGCACTCAGGGTGCCTCCTGCTACCTTGTTTGAGAACCTTCTTCCTGGCCTCTCTGTCGGTCACTAGGGGCGCTGGCGGACGCCGGGCATCCTCGGAGAAGGGGTTCAGGGAGCTGCCGGCGAACAGCCCCAGGTAGACTTTGCGGAGGACCGCCAGGAGAAGCACGGCCAGCAGCAGCACCAGCGAAAGCCACATCGCGCCGGTGTCGGGAAGCGGGTCCGCTCCGACGGTGCTCAGCCTCAAGGACCGCAGCTCCGCCCGGCTCGTTCGCCTCCCGGGTCAGGAGGCTGGGCGGACTTTGAACCTGATCGGGCTGCCGACGAGGAGCAATGACCGGGCGCGGTCTAGGCGCCTCGAGTCGGAGCAAAGCTCCCATTGACTCCCGGGAAGTGTAGTTCTCGGGGCCGGGAGAGGTTGCCCGGGCGACGCTTCGCACAAGGAGCAATGACCGAGCGCGGATTGGCCCTCTAGGCGCCTCGTGCTTTCTTGCCGGAGTTCCCGTTGCCTGCCGGGAAGTGTAGTTCTCGGGGCCGGGAGGGCCCGCTCGGGAGACGCTTCGCGCATGCGCGCGTCAGGACCACGACGGGCTGGGGGTGCCCGGGTGGGAAAGCTCAGGGTCACGTCGGGCACGCGTCCGGCGAGCCGCCGCGGGGCCGAACGGGGCCGAGTTGCAGGGCTGAGAGAGAACCACCCCCCCCCCGGGAGACGGAGAGCGGGCTCTGACCCCGGCTCTGCTCCGCCCGCGGCCCCCTCCCCGTTCCGAGTGGCGCGAAGTCTGAGTCGGAGTCCCCCCACGGCCGCCGTCCGGGTCCCCAACCGTACCCCCGCTCG